AACACAACTCTATGCCCACAAACATGCATAACTTTATGCCCACAAATTTGATAACTTAGATAAAATGTACCAATTCCTACAAAGACACAATCTGCCAAAACTTACACACAAAAAATTGACAATTTTAATAGGCCTATATTTATTAATCTAATCGATAATTTATTTATTTATTTATTTTCTTTAGTTATTTACTTTATTGGAAATAGCACTGAACACTTAAGACTTAACATTTCTTACTAATCGATAATTTAAAACATTGCAAAAGAGAAAGTATCAGGTCGAGGTGAGTTCACTGGTGAATTCTACCAAACACTTACAGGATAAATTATTTCAATTCTCAATAATCTCTTCCAGAATACAGAAGTGGAGAGAATACTGCCTAACTCATTCTGTGAGGCCATCATGCTGATACCTAAACTAGAAAATAAACATTATGTGAAAAGAATACTACAGACCAATATCTCTCAAGAATGTAAATGCAAAAATCCTCAACAAATATTAACAAATTAAACCCAAGAATGTATTTAAAAACTTATATAACATGATCAGGTGAGATTTATTCCAGGTACATAAGACTGGTTTAATATTAAAAAATCAAATAATATAATTCATCATGTCAACAATCTAATAAAGAAAAATTACATGATCATATCAATAAATACAGAAAAAGCATTTGACAAAATCTAATACCTATTCATGATAAAAACTCTCAGCAGACTAGGAATTGAGGGGATCTTCCTCAAATTGATAAAAAGCATCTACAAAACACTGATAGCTAATATCAAACTCAATGATGAGAAATTTGAGGCTGTCCTGCTAAGATCAGGAATAAGGGAAGGATGGCCCTTCTTACCATATCATACTGGAAGTCATAGCTACTGTAATAAGACAAGAAAAGAAAATTGAGAAGAAGTGAAATTGTCTTTGTTTGCAGAAAATATGATTGTTTATGTAGAAAATCTGAAAGAAATTACTAAAAAAATCCTGGAACAAAGAAGCAATTAAGCAATTATACTAAAGTTGTGGGATACAAGGTTAATGTACAAAAGTGATTGCTTTCCTATCTACCAGCAACGAGCAAGTAGAATTTGAAATTAAAAAAAACAAAAACAAAAACAAAAAAAAAAACCGGAATCATTCCTATTAATGCCCGAAGAAATAAAATACTTAAGAATAAATTTAACAAAGTATGTATAAGATCTGTATGAAGAAAACTACATAACCATATTGAAGAAATCAAAGAAGTAAATAAATGAAATCACTGAAAGATAATCAATGGTCAAAGATAGGAAGGCTCAATACTGTCAAGATGTCAGTTCTTCCCAACTTGATCTATAGAGTCAAGACAATCCAATCAAAATCCTGCAAGTTGTTTTATGACTATCAACAAACTGATTTGCAGAAGTGAAAAACCCAGAATAGCCAACCCAAAATTGAAAGAGAGGAACTATGTTGGAAGAAGTGACACTACCCAACTTTAAGATTTACTATAAAGATAGATTAATAAAATGATGTGGTATTGGTCAAAGTACAGACAAATAGATTATTGGCACAGAATAGACAGCCCAGAAACAGAGCCACATATATATATCAACTGATATTTGACAAAGCAGTAATGGCAATATACTGGAGAAAATATAGTCTCTTCAACAAATAGTGCAAGGACAACTGGATATCCACATACACTAGAATGACACTGGATCCCTACCTCACACCATATATAAAAATTAACTAAAAAAGGATCAATGACCTAAATATAGGAGCTAAATAAAACTCTCAGAATAAAACATAGGAATAAATCTCCTCTCCATGACCTCAAATTTGGCTATGAACTCTTAGATAGAACACCAAAAGCTTGACCAACAATAACAAAAAAATAGGTAAGCTAGAGCCTGGGGAATCCATAGAAATTGCCTTCTCTCACTCAGCCTGCCTCAGAGGGCTGGCTGGAGAGATAAAAACATCAGGAGACTTTCATTTCTGCCTGAGCTCCACACTCACTGCAAGGCTGGGTGGAGAATTGGAGAAAGGTGCCACCATGGGCACAGAGAGTATCTCTAGGTGCAGAGGGTGATGTGAAAAGCTCCCACAAACACACTGTCCTTGGGCCAGAAACCCTGTGTTTGGGTCCTTCCTTGCTGTATTTTAGACATGAAGCCTGAAGTCATTTAAAAAGCTTATTAATGCCTGCCTTCTGGGGTGTGGGTAGGATTAACAATTATCTACAGAAAGTGTCCAGTAAAGATGGCTGTGAGTGAGGTGTCAGCCATCAGGTAGAGGGTTGGGATGAACTGCTCATACCTGAGTTGGCTCCAAGTGATAGCACATTAGGACAGAGAGCTGACACAACCCAGGTCCCTCTCACAACCCTTTTTTAGACCTCGCACAAAAGGAGGTATGCGTCTCCAGGGTAACCCCACTGTTTGGTTACAAACATCCAGCTCTTACATCCCAAGAGCCTGGCCTTCTTCCCAAGAGGTCACCTTGGGAGGCTATACTATTCCAACAGGGCTGCCATTGTTCAAAGCAAACAGGGGCTTCCCATGGTGGTCACCTTAACCTTACAACCACCCAGTGGGGTACATGACCTTTGCGCATCTTACAGATGAGAAAACTGAGGGGGGGGCGGGGGATCAAGTCACTCGCCCCCGAGCCAAACAGCTACTAAAGGGCAGAGCTGGGATTTAGCCCTCACCTTTCTGACTCCAAAACCCCAGCAAAGCTTTTCCATGACAGTGCTTGCCTCTCTGCCTGTTACTTTATGGTCATTTTTATATTTTCCCTGTGATGCTATAACATTTATCTGTTTCCTGGCTACCAAGAGGGGCAAGGCTAAATAGCTGTGCTCCCCAGGGTCTCCTCCTGAAAGTAAACCAAGAACAACAACACCCCTGCTGCTTTGTTCTGCACTTATACAGAAAAGCTTTGTTCTCCTCTTATACACCAAAGCTTGAGGCCCATCATGTCCCTAGATGGAGAAACATCCCTAGAAGAAAGGTCCTGATGGACGGGAGCTTTTTCTGACTTGCTTCAGCGCCTTCTCCAGATTAAGAAAACCAGGCAAGATTCAGGCTCTGTGATAAGGCAACCACTTCCTGTGGGGATCAGGGCAGCCGCTGCCAGGAGGTTTACAATTAAGATTATGATCCTGGCAGCTGGTGGGGTGAGCCGTGGGACACAGACGCTGTCAGTGAGGGACAGCCGGAGCAGGCCCCAGGCCTCACCGCTCCTCCCACACTGTCCACGAAGGCCTCAGCCTGGCCCTGTTTTATCTGCCCCTGGGAGCCGGCCACCCTGCCTTGGATTCTAGCCTAGAAGAATCCAGGGCAGCCAGCGGCACACTCTGAAAGGGAGAGTGAACCATCAGATCGGTGACTAAGAAAGTGGCCACGTGCTTTCCAACTATGGACACAGAGGCAGGCGAAATAGAAAAATTCTATTAGGCAGTGGTACAGCCCTTTACAGTTTGCACGCCCCATGCACCCTGCCAGCAGCCCCAGGCAGGGGAAGCAGGTGGAGCAGGTGTGAAGGGTGCACGTACAAGACCCAGTGCAGGGAGCTCACCGAGTCTTTCTTGTCTTTTCCCCAAAGTAACACGTGAGTAGGTGTTACCATCCCATTTTAGAGATGAGAAAATCAAGACCTGCAGGGGTTACATGAGATGCCCAAAATTAAAAAAAAAAAAAAAAAAGTCTAGGACAGGGAAACAAACCACTTTTATGTTTTTATGGGAAATGGAACTTCAGAGAAATGATTTGGCTAATTATTTTAAATCTTAAGCTTCAAATCACAGACCTACGCAAAAGACACAAGCATTGTAGGGCAGTTCAGGCAATGGCTTCAAATCTCAATGGAATTACTCAGTGCTGCGTGACCTTGGGCAAGTCATTTAACTTTTCTGAGGCCTGTTTTTCTCTTCCCTAACATGGAGGTGATCATAGTGGCAAGATCTCAGGGCGGTTGCGAGGATGGAGTGGGACGGTGCAGCGAGTGAGCATCACACTGTGCTTGGCGCATGAAGCACTCTATCGTATTGCTGGTTTCTCTTCTGGTCAGCAGGGACTCAAACCCAGGTTCCTCTGCACCTCAGATCCTGTGATTTGCCACCAAGGGTCGGAGCCATTGTCTTTTGACCAAGACTGGCAATCAGATCTCCTTCGAGTTTTCAAATCCCCTCTCCTCTCCATGGCCTTACATAACCTCCAAACCACTGACCTGTCACGTTTTCCAGCTCAGCCCCACTTTTGGAATCCCAGAAATTGAGAGCATGAATGCTGGAACAGAGATTCAAATCATAGCTGCCTCATTTTACAATGAGAAAATGAGGCTCAACGAGGGAAATGACTTATGAGTCACAATGGTGGCCGAGGCTGCTCAGAGGACAGACATCCTAGCTCTTCATCCAGGAAGCTTCCATGAGGCCACCCAGCCCATCACCAGTCCCAGGATCATGGTCAGTTCAAGAAGGACTTCCCAGAGCCTCCGAAGCAGACTAAGCCTTTTCTGTTCTCAGTTTCACCATGGAATGTGGTGATTGATCCTAATGCTTGTGAATTTAGACTTTATCCAAAAGAGAATGGAGGGCAGAGGGATGATAATCACCATAGGAAGCAATATCTGTCTCACAGTTCCAAGACTATGGCGGGTATGGAGGAGGCTGAGTTCAGGGAAGGATCCTTGACACAGATTCCACGAGCCCTCCTGACCCTGCCTGGAACCCCCAGGAGTTCCACTCTTCCTTGAAGAGCTCACTCTCTGCCATACATCCACCCTCATTTCCTGCACCAAGGTGGCCCCTTTGCCCTCATCCATGAGCAAATGTCTAGAGGTGAAGACAAGAGTGAAGCCACCCTTCTCCTGCCCTGTACCCCTCAGGCAAGAGCTGAGAGCCCTCTCAAAGAGAACTGGTGGTTTGTAGGGCAAGAGGAGAAGAAGAGAGAAGAGCAGACCCTCTTGTTTGAGTAAGTGAAGATGCCACCTGCCATGTTGCTACATCATACCTCTTTCCACAGATGTCTTTCCCTTTGGGCCCAGGGATGCCAAGATTCTCCTACAATGCCTCCTGACAGCAGCTTCCAGATACACTCTAGAGAAAGAAGAGAGAGAAACACATTTCAAAAAGGCAGGATTCCTTGGGGACCATCTCAGTCCACACAGTGCTCCCGCTCTCCAAAGTGGGATACTCCCCACTTCCATCACTGCAAGCACAGAAGCCAGACAGGACACCCATGGTTGGTGATCCAGTTTAAATGTGTCCCCACCAAATTTCACATCGAATCAAAATTCCCAGTGTTGGAGGTGGGGCCTCAGATGTCCATCCAGGCAGGTGGGAGGTGATTGGATCACGGAGATACGTTTTTTCATAGTTTCAGTAGAAGTTTCAGCTGAAAGTAACCTAAATCCCCTACACATTTAGTTAGTAAGTAAAGCAAATAGCTAAAGTATGTAAAGAAGTTCACCTAACTAACTTACTCATGTGGTCTTAAAACTAACCTTTAAGCCAGATAGCTCTCTCAAGAAGTCAACCCAAAGATATTACCCTCTAATAGTATTTGCTTTAAGCATCAGAACCTGTCCTTTAATCTTCCAACCTCTAGTGGTACTGACTCAAGCCTTTCTCAACTGAGGTTTACTAAACAAATGCAAGTCTCACTAGCTAAAGAAAGTCAGCAGTTGCGACTGTTTACAGCACCCTGTAAAGAGTCTGTAAGCAGCCACAGACCCTCAGCCAAACTAGCAAAGCATAATATCTGTATGTTAGTGTACTTTATTCATCCATTGCCAGGTCAAAGTCTGAAAGACAGACCCCCACAAATAGTAACCCTGACAGAGACAGTTTCTCATGAATGGGTTAGCACCATCTGCTCAGTGCCATTCTCATAATAGTGGGTTATCGTGGGATCTGGTTATTTAAAAGTGTGGGGCACCTTCCCCTCTCTCTCTTGCTCCTGTCTCTACCATGCCACCATGCGTGCTTCCCCTTCTGCCAGGAATATAAGTTTCCTAAGGCCTCCCCAGAAGCAGATGCTGCCATGCTTCCTGTACAGCCTATAGAACTGTGAGCCAATCAAACCTCTTTTCTTTACAAATTACCCAGTCTCGGGTATTTCTTTATAGCAGTGCAAGACAGGACTCATACAGCTGGAAAGGCAGGACTAAGCACTAGCCCCACGAAGCTTCCCAGGATGGTGTCTCCAGAGCCTATGAATGGGGGCATATTTTCAATCTTCCCAAGTCAGCCTGGAGCCTGTACATCCATAAAATGCCAGTGAACATGCTAATCAAAACATCACACTATGTTTCTTTGCTTCTAGCTAGAATATTATCAACTTGGTGTGGGAATTCCAGTTTCCTCAGGCTGAAAAAAAGGCTTTCTGAGTCATTTTGAAAATAGGAAAAAGAATTAATCATTGCCTAATGAATGCAGGCTCTTTGGGCAATCCCAACACTTTCAAGGTCTGCTATCCATGAAGAGATAAGTAATGGGAAGGAAAATCTCAGTGGTAAAAAAAAGATCAGTTCCAGAATGCCAGCAGGGTTAGAAGTCCAGCCTCTCCAACCCTTCCTTTCTGTCAGTTTGATGAACAGTCCCTAGGTCACCAGAGAAGGATCAAATTCACCATGTCCAGGCCACATATCTGCCAGCAGAGACAGGCCAGTCCCAACGGATGCGTTTGGTCACATGCACAGCCGAGAAATAAGAGCAAAACTTACAGCCTCCAAAGCGCAGGGGAAAAAAGCTAAGTTCGCCAGTCTCTCCCCTCCCAGACTTCTGCCCTCAGAGACTAGCTGCACAGTGGAAGCCCTGATCAAGTTTCAGGTCTCTCGAATGATAATGATGATAATCCTGACATCCCTTACAACCCCAGGAGAAAGTGTCACCACATCAGGAACGAGGACCGTGAGCTCAGAGGAGTTAAATAACTTGCCCAAAATAAGATCACTGAAATGAGGCAGAGTTGGGACCTAGAACTTCAGCCATGGGAAGTCAAGCCTGGTGCCAGTGCCGTCATCTCCACAGTGGGAGTGTGGAAGCAGGAAGGCTTCAAGAGTTCAAGGTCTATCCCACAGACCCCAGCGTCAATGCATGCCTGCAAAGAAATCTCAGAACTCCCGTTAACTGATGGGAAACGGATTGGCTGGAGGATGGGACCTCATTTTATTTGGCCATCTGGGCCTCAAGAGTCCATCCAGGCGGCGTCAGCACAGGGGGGCCTCATGCATCATGAACCAGACTAAGGCTACAATCAGAGGAATCTGTTACATGTATAAACCCATAAAGTCACATAGATACACACACATATATATATACATATGCGTAAATATAGGTATGACCCTGGGCAAGTTATTTATAGAGACTGATAAAGATATAGGTAAGTTTTTCATTTTTAACTACAAAAGTACACGTGCTTCCTTGCTAGTCATCCTGTTTAACAGACAGAACCACTGCAAAGACTCTGGAGTGAGACTCTCTAGACTTTATTGTACCCAAACAAATACATGTATGCATGTGTGTATAAGCATGTACTTATGTGTGCACACAGCAGTGTGACATTTTACAAAAATGGGATCTTTTTTCTTCTTTTTTTTTGAAACGGAGTCTCCCTCTATCGCCCAGGCTGGAGCGCAGTGGCATGATCTCAGTTCAGTGCAACCTCCTGCTCCTGGGTTCAAGCCATTCTCCTGCCTCAGCCTCCCGAGCAGCTGGGACTACAGGTGTGTACCACCACATCCAGATAATTTTAGTATTTTTAGTAGAGATGGGGTTTCACCATATTGGCCAGGTGGCCTCAAACACCGACCTCGTAATCCCCCACTTCGGCCTCCCAATGTGCTGGGATTACCGGCGTGAGCCACTGCATCTGGCCACAAAAATGCGATCTTATCACACACATTCTACAACATCACTTGCCAATGATAACATGGCCAAAAAGGATCTTCTTGAGTCCTTTTCATAGCTGCACAGTATCCCATAGTACTCTGTGGGCCACAGTTTATCTACCATTTGTGTATTTCCCACCATGGCTCTGTCGGACAGCTCCATTTCTGGCCTCTAGAGCCTTACGGCAATGATCCCCTGGGTGCCCATCTTGGTGCAGAAATGTTCATGCAATTCCAAAGCCCAGATGCTTAGATGTGAGCAGAGGAGAGGCTGGGTAGTGTTGACAAACTGCCTTCCCCAAATCCTGGATTGAGTCACCTCACAGTGCAGGGCAGAAGGAACCCCTTCTCTCAGATGTAAATTTGAACCCAGGGCTCTGCTTGTGGAATGGCTTTCCTGGGCACCTTCCAGCGGCCTGGGAGGCCAAGAGCCCTGGACAAAGGGAGGCGTGTGGGACTTGACTGGTGCAGATGTCCCTGTTCTACTGTCTGGAGCATCACAGAGGAACTCAGGCCTACCTGAGCCAGGAACTGCATTTACTGGCTCACAACTGATAATGAGCTTTTATGAGCTCCAGGGACTACACGGAACACGTATTAGTGTCAAGAATGCCTGTCAGCCACGCAGCCTGGGTGAATGTCACACATTAACGGAATTAAAGGCCGCAGCCACGCCGGGAAGGAGCTGCGGGCTGCATGTCAGGAGGTGTGGGCAGCGCTTGTCAATAACAAAATTACTTTCCAGGTTTTGTGCTCTGGAGCCTTAAGCTGTCTCCCGTCTTCGGTGGAATTCTGCCTTCCTGCAGCCTCAGAGGAGATTAGTTTATTACCAGCCTGCCAGAAGAGGCAAAACCCAGCACTAATCCTAATTCCCATTTAAGCAAATCTGCATTGTGTGAGGGAAACCAGCTGGGTTTAGAATGCTTCCCCCTTGCCCCTGAGATCTCACTGTAGCCCCCTCCTCTCCATGGCGGAGGGGAGTCAATACAGATGTTAGAGCCAGAGCTCTCCTGAAAGACAGAGAAAAGAATCCCAGGGTTTAGGGCTAAGAGCAGGAGTGGGTCCTGGGTGAAAGTGGCAGAGTGTAAGCCTGGTGGGCAGGCGATGGGGGTTGCCCTTCACCTGATTGGTCTTGGGCTTTGGGAAGTCCCCACCACCCTCCTGCCCCCAAACTTGATCTTGCTCTGTGTATTGTTCTCCTGAATGTTTGGGGTGGGGGGCACAGGTTGAAATCCTAAATCGAGTTCTTACTAGCTGTGACCCAGAGCAAGTGACCTACCTACATCATGCCTGGACTCCCCATCTAGGACACAGGGCTAACGACAGCTGATGACTTGCAGGCTGGTGTGAGATTCAGTGAGAAATGTGTGTGCAGACTTAGCAGAGAGCCTGGCAAATGATATCATGGATCTTGAATGGACGTCTCCATGGATCATAATGACACCGTAATTTTAAGCACTTCTAAGAAACAGAAAACATTACCAATTAATTAAATTAACTCTGACATCACTTTTTGTAAAATGCACCCTGGTTTCAGAGACGTTAAAATGTTATTTTAAAAAAAGTGTGCCTTAGAATCCACAAAATACAGGAGCTTAATAGGTGGCAGTAACTATGAGAAGTATAAGCCAGGTTCACCCATTTTACAAGGCCTGGCTCAAAAGTTAAAGCTTCTTCCTCCTCTTCCTCCTTCCAAACTAGGGGAGAGCTCTCAATTTACAGGAAAAAAATCGGTCAGCCCACTTCTGTGTCCCGGATGAGGCCCAGATGAGAAAGTTTAGTATGTCTCCTGATGTTTCCTATTCTATTTTTATTGTTTTAATTAAAATATAACATACATACACAATAACACACATACCATGAATATATACCCCACTGAATTTTCACAAACAGAATATCCCTGTGCAACCAAAACCCAGATCAAAGACTCTTGTCTATTTCCCAGCTACTGATTCCTTTCACCTCATACATCCCAAAGCCACCTTGACTCTCTATCCTCATAGCACCTTCCCATCCCCTGGCTGGGCTGACCCTCATTACCGCTGTCTGCTTGCTGAGCACAGGCTCCTGGCTATTCTGCCAGCCTGCAGCCTCTGTTCCCCGCTCTGCCCTCTCTTTCACTGTTGGAGTGAGCCCATAAATGTAAAGCACTGTGTCTGTGCCTGCTTTAGTGGGTTCCCTGGCCTCCCTTTGTCTAGACACGAG